TGCTGCAGAGCTGTAATGTCCACAGAAACCCAATCACATGCATTTGCTCTTTAAACGTTGCTGGAGATGTTTGTTTGTGACTTAAAAAAGACAAAAACGTTTTATCTCGAGTCACAAACGTTTTCTGATGTTCTCAAGTGGAAGAGCTGCTCCACAGCTTTTTGAAAAGTTGGCCCAATATATCCTACACACATATAAATATATCCTACGCATATATAAATATCATCTGCCATCTATATATCTATATATCTATATCTCGCTGTCATCAGGCTGCCAGTAGTTGACCCTGGTCAGCTTTAAGATGTTTTTTCAGAAATGGTTCATGACATTGTTTTTCTTTTTTTTTTAATATAATTTCAGGCTCCCACAGTTCAAAGAAGAGGCCAAGAGTTACATTGGTGCCAACATGAAGAAGGTAACGGAAATGTTTCTCTTTCTTTGCCTTGGTCGGTGGATTTGTTGGTTGGTTGTTGATCCTTTAATGTTCTATGGTGTGGACATACAGTTACTGATGTGTTTGCATGAAGTAACTGATGGAAACAGTCAACAATAAGAGACAGTGGTTAGACCGGCTGCTTATCTGCTTTAATACACTTCATTTCATATCAGTCTTTGCTCTGACTGTTGAACTGGGAATGGCTGTTCCAACAGTTGTTGCTTCTTTGCATGCTTTTGTCGCCCATTTACTTTCCCTCCCTGTTCTGAAGAAACAAATACCGGATTGATATTGATAGTACTGGAATGGTTAGTTGTAGTACTGGTGTTGTAGAGCTATTGTGTGTGTAAACATGTGTTTTGGTCCGAGCGTATATAAGAAATGGACAAAACCCCGTAACTGGTCAGTTGGTGCCTTAACAGTAGGATAGTAGTAGTAGCAATTATCCCCACTAGAGGGCAACACCATGTGCCTGAGAGCAAAATATCTGCAACAATGATGAGAGTTATTCCTGTAGATTATTTAAGATTTAGTTGTGACCACAATGACCTCAGTAATCTGTTGAAGCCTTTTAAATAAAATGATCATTATCCAAGGTTCAATGTCCAAATTATAAAAGGTAGGAATGATGTAGCAGCGAAGGGCAACGTCACCTCATTACCTTACATCATTCCACAGATCTTAATCACATTGTTTCAAATACGTGGCACACTGCACCACTTGGTTGCACGTCTAAAGTGAGTACATTTGAATGTTAACCATAAATCTTTCCTTCCTTAACATAATGTGCCCAAATATTTTATCCTTTCTCACAAATAAAATGTGCTCATTGGGAAAAGGACATCTGTATAATTCATACATTCAGGTTTTCTTAAACAGAACATGACAGTTTATATACATATACAGTCAATCTTTTTTAGTGGAAAACAGATGGTAAAGAATGTGCACTCATCAGTATTGTGGAGCGACGATAAAACAGTCCAGTTTTAAGACAACATCATTTCTTATTCACGGTCTGTGGCTGAAGCACCTGAGTGTGTTTGTGTCTTGGTGTCACTGCTAACATGTTCCCCGTCACTAATCACGGGCTCCTGCCCGCTCCCCTTTTCTTCTGAGGCTTACAATATCATGTGGAAAAACAAACGAGTGCAGGTAAGACAGATAAGGCTGGAGATTCTCTTTCTTCTCTGATAGTAAACCTGAACCTCGGCTTTATTGAGTTTTTAAATTTGGCTCTGGTTCAGAGGATTCAGGGCAGTTTGTACACGTGTTATTCATTCTGTTGCGTCTCTGTGCTTGTTAGTTCTCACTTGTCTGTGTTTACACTGACTTTGTTTGTTTTTGCTTCATATATTTGTGCTTCTGTGCACAGAGCCACTCATAAGCTTTCTCATGGCTGCTACATATCTTTAGTGCACCCAAACTCTGAGCAATGTTTTTGTTTTTATGGCCCCCAGTAACAGTATAATCAAGTATGACATTTATAAGAGTAGTAGTAAATGTTCTTGAGGTACTCAGTGTTTTGTTCCTAAAACAAGTGATTCCTGGAGGAAAGCTGACAACGTCATTTATTAAAAAAAGTTTAAAACTCTGCAGCTCCTCACAGGGATCATTTAATGTCATCCATTATTTTATCTGGAACTCCATCAATACCCACAATGCCCTTTGATACTGGTTGAATGACCTGCTGTATTTCCTGTAGCTTAAGATGCGTGCTGGTGGAATGAGCGAGTCGTCCAAATGGAAAAAACAGAAGCGGTCGCCAAGACCACCTCGTCACATGGTGCGAAGTCCCTCAGGACAGATGGAGCCCGCCCAATCCAGCACGCTCAGCAACAATATCTCAGGTAGCAGACATTCACACTAGTCACTCCTGACACAGATGTTCATTAACTCACGATCCCACTCTGTCTCCCTCTCAGGTGGCGTTCCTTTTGTTGAGCCTTGTCTGACCAATTCCAGTTTACCATCAGCGAGTGCTGGGTCGTCCATCTCCAGTCCCACCACCACAGACAGTGGCCTGGACACCTGTTCTAAAGCCACGTCCAGGGAAGACCTGTCTGACCTGGAACAGTGTGGCCCAGCGGCCAACACACTTCCTGCTGCTGAACTCAGCGCTCCAGATGCCCAGGTGAGACCTATACCTGCACTTGTACAGGAGTTGGAGTTGGTTCAAACAGAGCTTAGATCTTTGAGCTCAGATCTTAGTTAAAACCCTGGCTGTAGCTTCAGAACTTAAAGAAAACTTTTTTAGAACTTTATTGATCCCATATTTGGAAAATTCATGTGTTAAGAGCAGATGTGCTGCTTCCTCTTGGAATCAAACCCAGGACTCTCTGCTCTCTGAGGCAGGGGTGCCAACCACTACACTATGGAGCCGACAAACCCTTGTTGTGTTGTTAGTGACTGTATGTGTTGATAGATGACGATTTGTGTCTGTGGCTTTGATGATGGTTTGTTTCCACGTCTGTCCAGTGTGAGGTCAGGCAGGTGGAACCCACCCAGTCCATCTCTGTGGAGTCCATTCCTGAAGTTCTCGAGGACAAAGACTCGGTCACAGAGCAGTCGGACAGCGGTGCCTCTGTTCCTGACATTGACTACGTCAACCCCCGAGGAGTTCGTTTCACTCAGTCCACACAGAGAGATGGTATGAAGGATTGTTCTAAACCAATAATCAACAAAGTTATCAAAGGTTTTTCTCTCTTTCTCTGTGAGTTAAACAGTAAACTGCTGCAGGTGAACTGAGGTCTTTCTTTCCCTTTTTCACACATTGAACTTGTTCGTCTCTGAAATCATTCGTCTGTAATCTCTTCTGGTTTTAATTCTGTTAATTTGGTGATGTTTTTGGGTGGTCTTGCTCCAGGAGCGTCCCTCATCCCCTACGGCCTCCCGTGTCTCAGAGAGCTTTTCCGTTTCCTCATTTCGCTGACCAACCCTCACGACCGGCACAACACCGACGCCATGATCCACGTGGGTCTGCAGCTGCTGACTGTTGCTCTGAAGTCTGCTCACATCATCGCTAACTACCAGTCTTTACTGGTTCTGGTTAAAGATGAGCTCTGCAGGCATCTGTTCCAGGTGAACTAATGAGGGAAAGATCAACAAGGTCAACATCAGTTCACATTGTTGTGTTTCATCATTTACATTTTATTTTTCTGGTTTCAACAGTTGCTGAATGTGGAGCGTATGAACCTCTACGCCTCCTCAATACGAGTTTGCTTCCTGCTTTTTGAAAGTACGAGAGTTCATTTGAAGTTTCAGCTTGAGGTAAAGACTCATCTTTTTTTTTTTTCATCATTTAAAAAAACATTGTTGTTTTTCAGACAAAACAACCTTCTGTTTGAAAGAGTTGATGTTTTTAATTTGAGCAGCTGTGAGACTGAATTACTAAACAAAAACTTCAGCGACATGTTAGAGAACGTCACGTAATGAACATGTTTCTAACTTCTTTCACATCAGTGAATTTACTTCAAGGTTTTCACCATGTTTAGATAAATAAGTGGTTCAGTAACAAATTAAAAATAAGAATGATTTCTGACAGATGTACCTGAAGAAGCTGATGGACATCATCACATCAGAGAACGTGAAGATGCCGTATGAGATGAAGGAGTTGGCGCTGGAGGCTCTGGTGCAGCTGTGGAGGATTCCCAGCTTCGTCACCGAGCTCTACATCAACTACGACTGTGATTTTTACTGCTCCAACCTCTTTGAAGACCTCACCAAAATATTGTCTAAGGTGGCCTTCACTCCTCCGTCAGTCATGCCTGTTCCATAAAGACTATCTCACCTCCTGCTTCTCCTCCTCCTCCTCTTCCAGAATGCCTTCCCAGTGTCGGGGCAGCTCTACACCACCCACCTCCTGTCACTTGAGGCGCTGCTAACTGTGATCGACAGCACTGAAGCCAACTGTCAGGCCAAAGTGATCAACAGTTCCACTCAACAAGAACCATCAGCAGCAGTGAGGCTGGAGGGAGGAAATTCAGACAAGAGTGGAGCAGACGCCAGCGCTGGTACGCACAAAAAGATTTTAATCTGTCATCGAAATCACAAATATTAAAAAGAATTATTGCTAGCTTAACAATGGGGTTTTTTTTCTTTCTTTTTTTTCAGATCTGCACGGACTAACCACAACCAATGGTGTGATAGTTCCACCAACTGAAGACGGACCAGTTTGTCCACCAACCAGTGGACATCTGATGGCAGAGAAGATGAAACTGGGCAGACAGGACCAAGAAGACACCGATTCTGGTGAGATTTTAGTGCTTTGATCTGGGAGGTTAACAAAATGCTCATCCTCCAAAAAAACAACACAAAACCAACAAAATCCAGCTGGAGTCTGTAACATCACTGCCTTATCTCAGTGATCCACGAGGAAGACCAGGAGTCCAGGAGACACCAAAGTACAAAGGAAATGTTTAGTTTCCTCCGTCAATGAGCTTCACTTTGTTATTTTGTGACTTCTGTGCCTGTGAGACAGTGATGGGTTTATTAACTTTGGTGAAGAAAAAAAATGCACCTCTGTAAAATTGAAAATTCTCTGTTGCAGCTGAGAAGAGAGTTCCAAAGAAACCCCAACGATTCTCCTCGTGTTTCCCTGACTCCCAGGAGTTGTTAGGAATAAGAACAAAGAAAAAGGTGAGCCATGTTGATTCATGAACACGTTAACAGTTTCAGTGACACATTTAAACCTTCCTTTGTTTGTGTCCACAGCTGTTGATAACTGGCACTGAACAATTTAATCAAAAACCGAAGAAGGGAATCCAGTTCCTGCAGGAACAAGGTCTCCTCTCAAACCCCATGGATAACAACCAGGTGGCTCAGTGGCTCAGAGAAAACCCACGACTGGACAAGAAGATGATCGGAGAGTTCATCAGCGATCGCAAAAATATGGAGCTTCTGGACAGTTTTGTCAAGTATGTCACTTTTGTTTTATTGTTTTGAACAAAGATGACAAAAAATCTAAAATTCCTGCCTATAAATGTAAAACACCTGAACTAACACAATAATGAGTGTTTATCAAATTCTTACAGTTTAACACAATCGCTGGTCTAAGACTAATAACAGTGTGTTGCACTTTGTAGAATAAAAAACCAAACAACAATATCAAACTCTACAATGTTTTCCTTGCAGCACATTCACCTTCCAGGGTCTTCGTATCGATGAGGCCCTGCGTCTTTACCTGGAAGCCTTCAGACTTCCCGGCGAAGCTCCCGTCATCCAGAGGCTCCTGGAAACTTTCACTGACAACTGGCATGTAAGACATAGACAGTGTAGATGTGAGTTCATGGGCACAACCAAGGTTTAAAGTGAAAAGTCAGCTTCCACTGCCTACAGCCAAGAACAAAAAGGTTACATCTCAAAATAGTTCTGGTCACGTGACCTGCTGCTATTCACAGCAAAGGCTTTTCCTCAACCTCACACACACACACACACACACACGGACACGTTAGCTAACGTAGCTACTGTGGAGTTGTGTTGGACGTGACTCCTCTTCATCTGTGTCTGATTGTTGTTTGTTTTTGTAGAAAGTCAACGGCTCCCCCTTCATGACCAACGATGCAGGCTTTGCTCTGGCCTACGCTGTGATCATGCTGAACACTGACCAACACAACCACAATGTCCGCAAGCAAAACATCCCCATGACTGTGGAGGTGAGACACACACACAGTCACAGTTTGGACTCCCCTTGTCAGCTGATGGACACTGGTCCTCTGACTGAAGAACAGTGTGCTGAGTCTCAGTACTGGGGGGGAAATGGTCCCAGACCTTCGGGCCCCACTGTGTCTATTTTCTTCCTCTCTCGGGGAGGAGCCGTGGTTTGTGTCTGATAGTATGACATTCCCCTGTGACCACACAGAGACCACAGACCAACAGCTGTGGCCAGTGGTGGTGGTTCTGAACACAGAGACCAGGACCAGGACTGAAGAGGACCTGGTCTTTGTCCTGAACCAATCCTGCTCCTAACAAAGCTTTGTTATTGGTAAATTATATTGGTAAACTTCAACAACAAGCCACTGACAAACAATATATTTTGAAGTCCTCAGTTATCTTTGTTGAAATGTAACTGAGCAGGTTAAAGGTCACCATGATGACATTTTAACCAGGGAAAATACCAATTTAAAACCACTGAAGAGAATTTGAAATCAACATCCTTCTGACTTCTTTCTTGTGCTGACACTGACAATAAAAATAAATTCAAGTTATTACGTAAGACTTTGACATTTCTAGGTTTGGTAAGTCCTAGTTTTAGAGCAGGACATCAGTGACATCAGTGACTGAGCTGATGGAGTCCAAACCGCAGCATGTGTTAGCGCTGAGTTATTTTTGATAGGAACACATCTACTGTATCTAAGTTAGTCCTTTTCCCATGGGTTCTATAACGAGGTGCTGTATTCAGAGGGACGCTGAGGTCAGAGGTCACTGAGATATTGTCACTCCGGTTTTTAAAATCCACCGTCGGCTGTTCCAGCCTACAAATATGTGATTGCAGCTGTTCCTCCGGCATGTGTCTGAAGTTTCCCGTGTGCCTCCTGCGCCCCCTGGTGTTTTCTTTTTTCCTGTTTTTGCCGACTGGTAGCATAAAGTCCGGAGCCTCGATGCTGTCACTCATCACTGGCTGCTTCTGTTTATTTATAGGTGTAATCCTTGTTTTCCTAAAGCTTCAGCTAAAGTGTATTCAATGACACAACAAGCTTCTGTTCCAGCCCAGGATCTTTTAATTATCACTGTGACGCTCAGCTAATGAAGCACTGACTGACTGACATGTTGACGGTGGAGATCTGCTCTTCCAAACCACTCACTGCACTGTTTTTTTAAACAGCAATTCAAGAAAAACCTGAAGGGAGTGAATGGAAACAAAGACTTTGACCAGGACATGTTGGAGGACATTTACAACGCCATCAAGTATGTTCATGGCATGACTTGGAATAGATACAGTCTATGTGATTTCAGTCAACTGTTCTGATTCTTTTTTATAACTTTTAAACAGTTTAGTTTAGCTTTTAGCTCCTGTGTCGTTTTTAGCTAAAAAAGAGTTTCTCAAAGACTTAAGGAATTAATAGAATCTTCAAACAACAACAAAAACCCAACTTTTACGCATCATATATTCTGTAGATAGAGCCACATATGTGAGTGAAACATAACACTGTATTATTATCTTGGCAGAAATGAAGAAATTGTGATGCCAGATGAACAGACGGGTTTAGTGAAGGAGAACTACGTGTGGAGCGTGCTGCTGCACCGTGGTGCCACACCTGAGGGCTGTTTTCTACACCTGCCCGCCGGCAGCTACGACAACGACCTGTTCACCATGACCTGGGGTCCCACCATCGCCGCCCTCTCCTACGTCTTTGACAAAAGCCTGGACGACAACATCATTCAGAAGGCCATCACAGGCTTCAGGTGAAACCTGCTGTCAACACAGTTTGTTGTTTGCTGCATTGTTAGCTGCGCTTCAGCTTTTTGGTAAATTGTTAGAAATAAAACTGTTGTTGCTTTTCAGTAAAATCTGTAGGATTTATGCTACAAAAAAAGGCATTTTAGGTTTTTGTCATGTTTTCTAAGCTTGTATTTGGTTTTCTTTTGGATGCAGAAAGTGTGCAATGGTCGCAGCTCACTACGGCTTCAGCAATGTTTTTGACAACCTGATAATATCCCTGTGCAAGTTCACTACACTGAGCAGTGAGGTACAGAAACATTTTTTTGTCATCCTGTATTTGTCATGTTCACAAATTCCTAAAAAGAATTTGTCGTTCTGCTCTCCCGTCTCCAGTCAGTAGAAAACCTGCCGACTGTCTTCGGCGGTAACGCCAAAGCACAGACAGCAGCTAAGACTGTGTTCGACCTGGCTCATCGCCACGGCAACATACTGAGAGAAGGCTGGAAGAACATCATGGAGTCAATGCTGCAGCTGTTCCGAGCTGAACTGCTGCCCAAAGCCATGGTCGAGGTCAGAACTCTGTCAACGCTCCAAACTAACAAATACATCTGTAATCTGCTGCCACCTGCTGGGCAAATGTCACACCGTTAGATCAGATTTTCCTAATATTTTCCTCCTTCCACAAAACACTAATACTTGTTTTAAGAAACAGAATCAAAATCATTAAGAAATGTCCTCATTAGTAAATAAATCACCTACTTTTTTCACCTTTGTTTCCTCAGGTGGAGGACTTTTTGGAGCCAAATGGGAAAATTTCTCTTCAGCGAGAGGAGACACCATCAAATCGGTATTTAATTTTTATGCAATAAAATCAAAATATCATGATTTTTACAGAATTGTTGGCTTTGCTAAAGAAAGGAAAACTCATCACCTTTATTTAACGGTTGTTATTGTTCCTCCTTCAGTGGCGAGTCTGCGGTGCTGAGTTTCGTGAACTGGCTGACACTGAGTGGAGCCGAGCAGTCAGGACTCAGAGGACCGTCCACAGAAAACCAGGAGGCAAAACAGGCGGCCATCGTCTGTATAAAGGTGCTGAGATGGGTTTTAAAATCCAATATGGTCAAAGTCACAAGTTTTACTTTGTAAATATATATGATATATGTGTTTTAAAATGTTTTCTCTTTCTTACTTTCTCAGCAATGTGACCCAGAGAAACTCATCACTGAGAGTAAGTTCCTGCAGCTGGAGTCCCTGCAGGAACTGATGAAGGTCAGTGTGATTCAAACCAGTGTTGTTTGAAGGACGCTCTGCTGAATGTGACCTTAGTGGCTGTAGACAGGATGACAACGCAGGTTTAGATCAACTGTGTCTTCTTCTGCTCAGGCTCTGATCTCTGTGACTCCTGATGAAGAGACGTACGACGAAGAAGACGCCGCCTTCTGCCTGGAGATGCTGCTGCGCATCGTTTTAGAGAACAGGTGAAGATGAGTCGCTGTGACATCGGTGGAGGATCACAGTACATTTAGGTGACCACCTGTGTGTGTGTGTGTGTGTGCAGGGACCGCGTGTCGTGTGTGTGGCAGACTGTGCGTGACCACCTGTACCACCTTTGTGTCCATGCCAACGAGAGCTGCTTCCTGGTGGAGAGAGCAGTGGTTGGTCTGCTGAGACTTGCCATCAGACTTCTGAGGAGAGAAGACATTACCTGACAGGTACACACACACACACACACACACTTTACAGAATGATATTAGTTTAATATGTTACATTTGATCAATGGCTGTGGCACCAAAAACACGTTATTTTTTGTGTATTTGTTTTGAGGTTTTGAAGTTTTTTTTTTAATCTACTATAGTTCAGTGGTTATTGTGGTTAAGGTGTCCCAGAATTATGTTAGTGATAAATCTGCTAAATAGATTAAGTATTTCTGGAGCAGTTAGTGCATTTTCTTTCTTTCTTTTTTTTTTTAATCTTAATTTTTAGGACGTTTCAGACTTTCCAGAAAATTAGCAGTAATTAATTCTTAGATGTTTTATGTTTTGTGTACTTTGCGTATTGACGTGTTTTTTTAACTATCTGGCTGTAGTTCAATATTATAAAGTTCTTTATTCCTTGTTATTCCCTCAGGTCCTGCACTCCCTGCGTCTCCTGCTGATGATGAAGCCTCCCGTCTTGTCCCGGGTGAGCAGAGAAGTGGCCTACGGCCTCCACGAGCTGCTGAAGACCAACGCAGCCAACATCCACTGCACTGACCACTGGTTCACGCTCTTCTCTCTGCTGGAGTGCATCGGAGCCGGAGTCAAACCTCCGTCCTCTTTTCAGATTCCCTCCACCACGGCAGACAACGACACAGGTTCAAACACTCCTCTCATCCATGATACAATTTCAAAAAGACTTTGATTAAAATGATAATGATTGTTTTACAGGAGCTCAGTCAGACAGCGAGCTGTCGTCTCATCATAACAGTGAAACTCATTTAGAGCGCGGCTACACGTCTGACTCAGAGGTTTACACCGAGCACAGCAAGAGCAGAATGATCCGCTCCACCACTGATGTGGACGTGGCCAACAGTGGATGGTTGGTGGTGAGTGACACACACACACACACAGAGAACCCAGTGTTCCTAAAATCACACACCCTGAATGTGTGTGTTGTGCCTTTTTATTTCCAGGTGGGTAAGGACGACCTGGACTTGTCCAGAGCTGCTGCGGTCGGCTCCAAGGCTCAGCTGAATTATCCTCTGGTGAACCAGTACAGTCTGACCCTGGGTCAGGACCTGGGTCACCACGACACCAAGTCTCTGATTAAGTGTGTGGAAACGCTGTCCTTCATCGTCCGGGACGCCGCCCACGTCACCCCAGAGAATTTTGAACTGTGCGTGCGAGCGATACGAGTGTTTGTGGAGGCTAGCCTCAACGGAGGTGAGACTTTTAGACATGAAGTAACAACCCTGACCCCAGTGAAAGTCATGAACCGTTTGAATTATTTCTTGACCACATATAAAAATCGACCAGTCAGGATATAAAAAAAAAAATCAAACCTCATCACACTGTCCTTAAAAACATCTTCTTTATCTTCAGATTTAAACTTTTCTTTCTTGTAGGTTACCGTAACCACGACAAAAAGAAGGGCCACAAATATGACTCAAAATCACGCATGAGGAGAAAGGCTGGGGCCCGGGACAAAGAGGGCGGGGCTGGAAACAAACGAGGTGGAGGCCGGGCTTCAAACCAGCGACTGTCACGTTCCCACAGCGACGAGGAGGAAGACGAGGGCGTCCCGGCCAGTTACCACACTGTGTCATTACAGGTTAGTCAGGACGTAAGTACAACAGCCCTCTTCACCTTTGACCTTCTGATCTTTGAACGTTTCCCAAACACTGCGTTTAACCAGCTGTTCTGGTGAACGTTGGCCGTACCTCCAGGTTCCTGGTGGAACGTCAGACTTTTATCACCAAACAGTCCGATCAGTGACACAGTTGCACCTTTTCCTGGTTGTATCTGACCTGTTGTTTATTTCTGGTGTCATTTCTGAGTTAGAACAACAGGAAACACTGTTTGTTGACATGTGTGAGTGTGAATTTGAACACATGACACGTTAATCCAGACCAGTCGAAGGTCAATGCTGCAGATTCTGCAACAAAAGGCAACAAAAGAAAGAATTCCATTTCATAATCTGGAGTGTTTTAAACAATCACCAAAGTCAGGACAGTTACATCATGTTGACCGTCTGAATCAGGCGACCACGGGTGTCAACAGAACGTTGACTCCAGTGGCGTCCTCCAGGTTGACAGAGTCCAGTGTCTTTGTCCCTGTTGAGGGGAAACTCTGTAGTAGATGTTCCTCCTCACACTTGTACAGACACCTGGTCTGAACCGCACAGTCAGCAGATTTCATCAGCGACGTCATGATGTTGTTGTGGTTGTTGTTGACTCTTGACGTTGATGACTTTTCTGGGGCTTCAGCTTTTAGACCTGATGCACACACTTCACACTCGTGCTGCCAGCATTTACAACTCTTGGGCAGAGGAGCAGCGCCACCTGCAGGCCGGAGGCAGGAAGATCGAGGCTGACGCTCGGACTCTATGGAGCAGCTGTTGGTGTCCACTGCTGCAAGGTAAACATTTACAGGAACGGCACCTGAGAAGGCTTGGTTAAAGGTGACTCCAGCACTCCATCTACTGGCAACTGACTCTAACTGCCTGCTTCAGTCACTGAAGCCACTGCCGTATTTTTCACTAGAATAAAGTCAGTCCAGAGCAGAGTCACGGAGGTCGAACCTGTGCTGCTGTCGGTGACAACACCACTCATTGTTTCCTGTTGTTTGACCTCCAGGAATCGCGTGGCTTTGCTGTGACGCCAGGAGACAGGTTCGCATGCAGGCCCTCACCTACCTCCAGAGGGCGCTGCTCGTTCACGATCTGCAGACCTTGGATGCGGCAGAGTGGGAGTCCTGCTTCAACAAGGTGAGAAGATACATGAAGATGAAAGGCTGAAAAATCCATGTTGAAATAAAAAAAGTACATGATGTTAAACATGATGTGGTCTGTGTGGCTGCAGGTTCTATTCCCTCTGCTTACAAAGCTTCTTGACAACATCAGTCCAGCAGATGTCGGAGGAATGGAAGAGACAAGAATGAGAGGCTGCACCCTGCTGTCCAAGGTTTGAAACAACACCACACACCCCTAACCTAACCCTAACCCCGTATTCTCTAACTCTTTCTTTCTGTCCAGGTCTTCCTCCAGCATCTGTCTCCTCTGCTGTCACTGCCCACATTTGCTGCTCTCTGGTTGACCATCCTGGACTTCATGGACAAGTACATGCACGCAGGCTCCAGTGATCTGCTGGTGAGTCAGGATACGGTGTCTGGAGCAGGAAGCTGGAGTTTAGTTAGCTGGAGTTTAACGTTCTGCTTGGTTTTTATTTTCAGCTCGAAGCCATCCCTGAGTCTCTGAAGAACATGCTGCTGGTCATGGACACAGCTGGGATCTTTCACAGCGCCGACTCCAAGACGGGATACTCGGACCTCTGGGAAATCACCTGGGAACGAATCGTCTGCTTCCTGCCTCACCTGCGGGAGGAGCTCTTCAAACAGACCGTTATTCCAGGTAACAACAATGATTCCCGACTATAAGTCGCACCGGCCAAAGGATGAAAAAGGAGTATTAGACACTGGTACACAAGCCTAGAGCGCCCTCTAGCGGTTGTCAGTGTATATGGGGATGGGGAAAAAGTGCGAGTTATAGTCCAGAAAATACGGTATGATACAAACAGTGGTGATGATTTTTATTTGAACATTAATATTGGTGTTCAGATGTAACCGTTTGTTTCTGACCGACATGTTTTGTCATGAATCTTCTTCATTTTCAGAACCACTTCCTGTTCCTGCAGCTGAAACCCTGCAGCAGCAACAGTCACCACCTCCATCTGCTCGTCCACCCTCTCCTCAGGCGTCTCCATCCCCTCCCTCACCCCTCCCTGTCCCAGCATCCCTCGCTGCTGAGACAAAGACTCCCAGTAGACCAGCATCACCACAAGAGCCTCAAACCAGCAACAGGACAGGTAAAAAAAAAAAGGGGGGAGAGAGGTGGCTCCACTTCAGTCCATTCTATGATGTATCTGACCTCAACTGAACCGTCTCTCGTCTCTTGTCTTTCTTTTTGTCCAGGATCACCAGAGCGCCACTCACCTGTCCCGCCCACTGTCCCCTCCATGACAGTGCCACTGACCTCACCCCCGTCCCCTGCCCAGCCCCCACTCATCTTGCAGCCGCTCGCTTCACCCCTGCAGGTGGGAGTCCCGCCCATGTCCCTACCAATCATCCTGAACCCCGCCCTAATCGAAGCCACATCCCCGGTCCCTCTGCTGCCTGGACCCAGACCCACCAGCCCCACCGACGAGGTCAAGTAACACTGTCGCCCCCCCACACCCCCACCCCCTCACCCTGAGCTGTGGACGTCCTGGAGTCCAGTTCCTGGGATACAAAAAAAAACCATGACTGTCTGCAAAGAAAAGGGAGAAAATGAAATGTTTAGCCCTAAATGAAAGAGTCAGTTTAGTTTAAAGTTTAGTTTTTTTTATTTGGCTTGTTTAATTAATCTGTTCTAACTTTCTGTTTAGAACAAAATGAGGAGGTAATTAAAAATATCATGAAATTCAGACCATTTTTATGTAGTGACTTGTTAGAAATGTTGTTTGTAATGTTTCTGAACTTCGGAGATGAAGGAAACTTTAAACACTACAGTCAGGTGTTTTATCTCTGCTAAAATCAACCGTTTTCTTTATGGACCTCTGAATGGGACAGTGACTGCTTTACAAACTGCACTTTCCGGATGGAAAAGTCTGTCAACAGTGAAATAAAGCAGTAAATATGTTGTTAAGAAATTAAAACTATTGGAGCTGATTTATCAACAACTGTTGAAGAGGCAGAACTGTCCCTTTAAACGCTCTCTCTAACAGAGCCTCCAGTCCATGTCCCTGCAGTCACTCCTGGTTAGAGTTAACACTTTGAGCTGTTGCAGTTATTTTGGTGAAATGCACGCACACACACAAACACACCATGTGTTTTTTGCCAAATGTGTGTGTGGACAGAAACACACTCTTCTCTCTAACTCTGCTGTTTCACCTCCATCTTATTTATTAACTGTAGGAAAGGTGTGTGTGTGTGTGCGTGTGTGTCAGTCAGTCACTGCAGCATCACAGTAAGAAACCACAGAACTGTGATGTGGTTCTGGTTTTAGAACTCATCTGATTCTTGAACAGGAAATGGCATGAATATAATAATGGCTGTAAATATATACATATATATAAATATATATAAATGATGGAAATGTTCTTTTTATTATGTAATAAAAGTGTAAATGAAGTCAAGTCAACATGTCACAGATGAAATGAATCACCAAAATAACATAACTTTTTTGGGGATTTTTACATTACATTCATAATGTTAACATTTCTATTGACAACTTTTATTAAATGTGAATTACTGTGAATAACTAATTATAATAGTTAATTTTCCAGGAGAATTACTTATTTGTTGTGCTAAACTAAAATATAGTCAATTTTATTTAATTGTACTGACTTTATAAATCTAAATTCCTGGGTTTGTCGTTAATTCTCGTTGTGCTAATCACATAATAATAGGTGTGTCGCACGTGAACAGGAGCAGGTATCGGGTCAGTGTGAACA